CCGCCATTGCAGTCAATTCCAGTAACAGCAGCTGGTGATTTGTGGTTAGTAGATGTTATGGGACCGTTCCCGCAGACGACAAGTGGTAACCAGTACCTGCTGGTGATGACTGAGCATGCCACACGATGGGTAAATGCCGTGCCGATGGCGGACCAACGTGCAAGGACGGTGACGGAAGCGGTAATGCGGCACATTGTGGCTGACCATGGGATACCAAAGATAATATTAACCGATCAAGGTCCCTGTTTCGAGAGTGATGAGTTCAAGTCCCGTCTAAAGCAGTTAGGTATCAAGAGAGTACGAACAACGCCGTATCATCCACAGACGAATGGGTTAACGGAAAGGAATAGCCGAACGCTAAAGGAATGGCTAGCATCTAAAGGGGGTGACTGGGAGAAAGAATTACCATTAATCTTGCTGGCACATCGTGCCTCGGCACAGGGAACAACCAGGAAGTCACCGTTCCAGACGGCAGACGGCCGAGACTACCAACGCAGGATAAAACCTGGCCGCAACAACAGAGATGGAATACAACAAGATTGAGAACAGAGCGGAGACAAGCAATCAGGAATGTGAGAGAGAAACAAACATCAGACATGGAGAAGTCAGAACAGGAGAGAAAGAACTGGAGACCGTTTGAAGTTGGAGACCAGGTGAAGTGTAGAGAACGGAAATATACCACAGGAAGAGGGCCAGGGTCAGGTAAGCTGATCCCGAAGTGGGAGGGACCGTACGTCGTCACCGAGAGGCGCGGCGCAGTGTATACGATCCAGAAAGGAAACAAACAGAAACGCGTGAATGCCAGTGAACTCCAAAGGTGGTTCCAAGTGCGCCAAGAGGGCGAGCCACAAACACTGATGAAGAAGACGGCTGTACGGAGATCAGAAAGACTGCGACGACAGCTTATTAAAAGGGGGGACGAGTGTGGTGCTGTGGTGCGAACTACTTATAAGTAGTATATAACGTGAGTGTCAACGTAAAGTCTGGTAGCATAATACGGGGGGAAGATCAAGAAAGGAAGAGTTAGAAAACAATGGAATTTGTATCAAACGCATGAATAGTGACAATGGATTGATGTTTGGCAACAGAAACAGTCCAGTTCCATAGGATGAACTGATCTTTTGCAAATGAACGATTTACGATATGGTTTTCCGATTTTACTGAGTAACTCTGTAATTTTCGCTAAATACAATTCGGTTGCCCCCACCTGTGTTCTCATTCACTACAAAGTGACTACTGATCAGACGTGTTACAGAAGGGTAATGCTTTCAAAACTTTGCTCCATCAGAAGCGAAGAGGATTTAGGAGGATTCACATCCATTGGGGATTGGGTAGTGAAAACTACCCACAAAACCAAACCGGCCTTAATGTCACATCTTGAACATTCTGCCCCACAGGACGCAAGAAATTTACACCCTCTACAAAATCTGCTCCCTAAAGTCTTCTCAGAGTGCGATCTATGTTAAATAACCACTGAAAGCCTCCAAACCAGCTGAAACTGTCAGAGACATGCATTACTTACTTCAGTTACGCCTGTTACCAACAATGAGGCCGCCGACTAGTTTTCTTCAACCTGCTCTATCCTGCGCTTTACTTTCCAGTTCTTTCCAATATTCAGTCATTTTTTCATATCTTTCTCTATTTCGTGGCGTAAAGTTTTTCTTGGCCTTCCTCTTTTCCTTAGACCTTGAAATTTCCAAAAAGAGCTTGACTTGTGACGCAGTCGGGTGCTTTCCGCAGATCCGCGCCATCACATCCTCATGAGATGCACCTTGATATGTAAAGGTGATAACGTCCGATCACTAGTGATTCGGTTTGCGTATATTGTGCTGTATCGGAGAATCTTACTGTTCTATTTTTGTATGTTGAGAGTTGCTGCTGCTAAAGTGGTCGTCTTATTTTGCATTTGTTGTTGCGTGTACAGTAGAAGGATCAGATTATCTGCGAAGTCCAAATCTTCCGGGTTCATCCTAGCTGTCGATTGGACACCATGCTTCCCTCCAGATGTTGACATCTTCATAACCCAATCGATTACAAAGAGAAAGATAAAGGGTAAGAGTAAGCGACCCTGCCTGAAACCGTTCTTCACCTCGAACGAGTCTGTCAGCTGCCCTTCGTGCACGCTTTCGTAGTTTAATCCATCGTATGAATTCCGTATGATATTGACTATCTTCACAGGCACGCAATAGTTTCGAGGAGGATTTCATAGTGTTGTCCTGTCCACGACATCGAAGGCTTTCGCGTAATGAATGTAGTTGATGTTGAGTGGTTAATTTCATTTAAATGATTGTTCCACAATGATCCGTAATGTTGCAATTTGGTCGGTACATAATCGATCTTTATCGAATCCAGCCTGTTGATCTCAAAACTGGGCGGCGGTAGAGACCTTCATTCTGCTTATCAGTATCCTTTTGAAGACATTCCTTGATACTGATGATGCCTCTGTAGTTCTAACAGTAGCTGAGATCGCATTTCTTTGGTATTTCGATGTTGTATCCTTGTTTAAAGTTTGTTGCACCTTTTTCTTCCTCATAAATCTTCTTGAAGAGAGTTTGAAATATTTATGCAGTTCTTCCACATCTGCTTCTGTGTATTCAGCTTGTGCCTTGGCGTTCTCTGCTCTTGTTCGGCTGATGTTGACTGCTGCCTTTTTGTTCCTCCTTTCCCGAATTTCTTCAAGAGTACCAACAGAGATACATTCCTCGTGATCGTACTTCTCGTGACCCAGAAACTCCTGACATGTTGAACTGATTGCCTGCTTGATCCCCTTCTAGTTGTTCTCCATGGTTGTTTCCCTTCTATTGAGTATATATACTGTTCAAAGCCTGGAACCTATTGCTGAGAGCTATCTTGAATTCGTTGAGTATCACGAAGAAAGGCCGTATTAAACTCTTGTGATGGTGTCCAGTGTTTCTTGAGTTTCAGTTATATTTTGGCGACCAGCAAGTGGTGATCTGAGGCTATTTCAGCTCCTCTCTTGGTTCTTACGTCCTCCATAGTCCCTTCGGAACGTTTGATAGATATAGATGTGGTCAGTTTGGTTCCAAGTAGTGTGGTCCGGTGAAATCCATGTAGCTTTGAGTATGCATTTGTGTGGGAATATGGTGTCACCTATGACCAGTTTGTTGTAGTCGTTGGTAGGTGCATAGTATTCGATGACGTTCATTGTAATGCCCTCTTTGTTTGTTTTGAAGGATGCTTTGATGATCCTGGGTCCATGAGATTGCATCCCATCAATGTCTTTTGTGCTGGTTTGGACAACATCAGTGCGACTCCTTGTGTGTGCGAGAGGCATTTTCATCTTGATGGCCGGAGTATAACAGCAGCTCTCTTGAAGCTAGTCTCACATGTCCAACCTGTGTCCAGTGCGTTTCACTGATTCCGAGCAGCTCCAGGTTGAATCTTTTCACCCCTGCAGCAATTTGGAACAGTCTTTCGGTCTTCCACATTGTTCTAACATTCCATGTACCTAAAAGAATGGTTGATCTGACTGTGAGAAGAGGCTTCGGCCTCGTTAATTCCGAAGGAACTCAGCTTTCATCACGTGACTTCATAACTCTTTTGAATGAAAACTTTTTAACTTTCAGGTCAGAAGTATCCCCAGAAGGGCTCCAGGCGGAGTGTCATTTTCTTATTACCTCTTATATGAATGCTTTTATCGTCTTATTCCCATGCTTCAGTGACGCTAACCATTTGACCCCATGAGATGTTATTATTGGTCTTTTGAAACCGCACTCTAAACTTCATGTTGGGGCTCTCAATATCTGATGCCAAAAAGGCCTACCCACCTCTTTAATTGGGACTCAAATTTTGTGTTATTGATGTACCCTGTGTCTTCAAAACATGCATGTCATATTCAAGTATGATCACTAATTTGATCTCGCCTAGTCGCTAAAGAGATGTGTCACGATTTACCGTCCTTTCATCTGGGTACTTGGCAGCTCCTTATCGTGACCTCACTGCCGTATTTACAGCTGAAGAAAAATAAACTATCATAGACTGCATTTGAGTAGATAGTATGTTGTGCACTGTTCAGTTGAGTGGTGACATAAGCACCCGAAAGGAAAGAACCCACACTCCCACTGACTCTAATCAGGATAAACAAAAAAATCCTATAAAAAGCGTTCTCGTCTTTTACAATAATCTGAACACTCACGTTTCATGATCGTAGGAGATTTCCATGCTCAACTAGGTATCTTAAACCAAAGTGAACGAAACTTAAGTCGATCTTACAGTGTCCCAGCTCAACGAACAAATAACATCGACCGTCTCACATAACTGCTGTAACACCTGTTCATACCTGTCAAGCCCAAACATTGAGCATAGGGAGATATGTCGTCTAGTATGTAGACTTCTGTAATCGACTCAACGATGGAGGTAAACAAACCCCATCTTCATCATCGATCGTTAAACAGGTTCAGTAGAAGAGCATCACTCATTCTGGGGCACACCTCCAGGCTGTAGCCATGCTTTAGTCAGTGTTCATCTTTGTTTGTGTCTTAATGGCCTCAGAAAAGTCGCAGTTGGAAAAACATGTGTTGAGTATACCCATCAACCGACTACATCTACACGCAGTGATGGTGATATGGCTATAGGTTGGAAAATAGCTATGTCCTGTCAAACTTTGGCATGGCATCAGTCCATGAGGGCACTAGCTGTTGGACTGAGCCATGTAGGGACGTCCAAACTACCTGTTTCGGGTCCATGTGATTCTCATAACTGATGGTAAAATACCTAAAATGAAATGAATTGGAAGTGTTCGTGATGGAGCCGATGTTTTCATTTTGTCTTCCTTTAGATCCTAAGTTTCGAACCTCCTCATGAACTTTTCTCCATTTTCTCAACGATTTATACTTTCTTGAATCCTTTCTTGGATGCCTAAAATTTTTTAATACCATCAGTACTGCTGCTATCCGTACTACTCTGGGATTTTCTATGAAAATTTCATCTCACTGTGCTAATGAGGACTTAAAACTGAAGCAATATACAAGCTCCAGTTGGATATTGGATATCGGAGAGACCGCTTACTTTAATTGCTTAACAAATACCTGTGGTCTGTATCTTCGTTTTTTGCGATATCGTCCATCATTGAAGTGGAGGCACCATCGAACTGCAAGTGTCATATCGCTGATGGCTTCATTGTACTGAGAAGAATAATGCATATTTTGCGTACTTTGGACACATACATGGCTAATTAAAATTAAGTCTTTAAATAATAGAGGGCTGTAAACATTCGATGGTAGTTATGATTATTTATTTAGTAAACATGAAAGTTTAGCAAATTTGTTAACAAGTGATTTTAATAATTGAAGATTTCAATCATAAAATGGCAGCTTCTGAAGCATGTAAAAAGTCTCTTGTTACTCTGGAGTCATATCTTCGAGATGAACATACTAGTTCAGAAACTGTAAAATTCTCTGCTAACAGCATACTGTCAGTCGATGGAAGAGTGAGGAGTATTATCTTCATAGACCTAAACTGACTCATTTTAGAAACCAAGTCCTCTGGAGGAGGTCGAGATTTTGGATACCATAGCTATGTATATAATGCTAAAAAACGAAGAGGATGTGAAATATCGCTTGTTCTTCGAAGTCTTTCCTATTGATAGAGATATTAGCACTGACAATTTGTACTTCCTAGTAAAATTATCGTCGTTAGCTATTTGTCTTGGACTATCTCCAGTGCTCGAAATTATTTCTTTGTGGCTAAAGGTAAGGAAAGTCAAAGTATCTTAACTTCGTTAAACAGGTATTTTATGAGATTGCTCACAAGCTTGGTAATCACTTAGCAGCTCTACTACACACCAATAGTGTGTTTTAAAACATACTGCTGTTATTTGGTAGAGTTGATATCTAGAAGCAATGTTTGTATAACTGTAATCTGAGTAGGATATTGTTTTTAGATGCGAAATAGGATTTTCCATTGTGTAACTACTTATCATAAGTCTTCCCTTCAATCAAGAGTTTTTAAATAGTCTAGAAGTGACTAATATGCTACATCGACCTACTAACTACTTTCTACTTCAGCAAAGTTTGTTCCACCAAAGCTCCTAGATTGACCATTTCAAGTAATAACCATCAGGACTGGTACTAGTATTTATCGATATGTCCCCAAGAGTGACAACTTCGTCTGGTTTTTTGGAGATGAATTTCCCAGGTATAGTTTAAAATAATCGTATACCGGTCCTGTTTGGTGGCAGTAAAAAAGTGAAAGGTCTTATAAAGAAATTGAATAAAAACCGTGATGTCCGAAATGTACTAATCCCACATTAAGCGTTAATGTTGCTTCAGATTAGGTTGTTTCTCAGTCCCTCAAGTACTCAAACCATTACTAATTTTAAAAATCTTACCAGATTTAAATTGTTTTTCACTGACCCAGTAGTGGCACACGCATAAGAGGTCAAATTCATGATTAGATTTCGATATTTCCACGGACAGGGTGAGGATGAAAGAATTCACGAGAAAGTGACCGTTAAATGTGTCATCTTTGTTACTGTTATTTCTATTCAGTATTCTTATTGAGCACTAAACTACAATAGCCTAACATGGCATTGTAATCATTTTATTATGTTTAATCGGAATTTTCCACTAGCTTGTCGAGTTTCTCTTTATGATCAAAATTAACTTACATATTGTAGCTATACTGTTAGACTTGTCCAGTTGCATCTATTAATTTTGCTGTGTATGGTTCTCATTCGCCCAATAAATCAGCTTCATCCAAGGCGGATTCAATGCATTTTACTCACCAATTATTTTTTGTTATAACGGACTTAAAATCTTTTTAGTTGTTTGCATTTGCTTTTTTCTATTTAACTAAGTTTTTTAATACTCAGTTATAAGTAACAATGAATTTTTTGAATTATCAGATCCGAGTTTGTCAACTTTGTGCCTCCTCAGGACCACAGTCAGCTAATTATTCATTTTGCACTTCATATGAAATTATCGAGGAGTTCGTTACAGCACTTACATCTGATATGCTCAGTATACAAGAGTTGCCATCGTCTTCAAATCCACAATTCTCGAAAAACGATATGATTCAGAGTGGTGATTTAAGCAAAGATAACCCATTGTACACTATCCCATCAGTGTCGCCTACATTCGCAGATGCCTTTTTGTCCGGAATTACTCTCGTTTATGGCTTCCATCCTTCCCTTAGTAAGTAAACTCTTGAAGTTGTCCCCTATTATCCATTTAAATTAAAAATTAACTTAAAGTACATTGTACAAATAAGTTATTCTCTACATGATACTTTTAATTGTCATGAACTTCATTCTTTCATTTAAGCAGTTCACAGCGACATATTCAGCTCTGCAGGTTCTACCATGCCAGGCAGGTCGATTGGGGAACGTTGAGACTGACTGTAGAGGCGTGTGACAGCAGTATGGTGTTTCCTTCGGACAACCAGCATCTGCAGCAATGCTGCCTTCTCACTATGCGAGGCAGGGGTTAAAAGAGGTCAACCTTAAAAATGTCACCTCACCTTACCCTACGAATTTCCGTCTGCGGCGGTAAAACCTTTTAAAAAGAGCGGAGCTAACACTTTTAAAAACTTTGATATAAAAGCCGCGCGTAACCGGCCTCAAGCAGTTGTCTTTTGGGCTCTACAGTCACGTTTCCGGGTCTCTAAGACCAACACTAATCTACCTTCCTTTTCAGATTCCGCAAGGAACATTCTTCCACGGTGTGTGCGTTCGGAAAGTGACAATCACCCACATACCCGTAACAGCACACGAGACCAAATCGGTCACAATCAAATCCTTTCTACCTCTAATAACTTTCGTATCTCCCCGACCAACCCTTTTTTCATGTTTTTGTCAACTCGCGACGATAGGAAAACACGCCATCACCTCTTTGTCGTATCTGCCTACTCTCCGACTGACTCCAGCTCAGGCGAGGTGAAAAATGAGTTTTACAGAAAGCTTCTAGAACCCAAACAACGGCTAATGGCGATCATCTGTTGCAACTATGCTTATTTAACCGCCTATTCCTAGCAAACGCTAACTTTAGGCATAAGGAAAAACATTTGTTGACCTGGCGACCCCCCAAGTCGTCTCAACGTTGGACCCAACTAGATCGCAACACTATAAGCCACCGATGGAGAGGTTCGATAAAGGACTGTCGCTCGTTCTGGGGCACATGTTTAGATTCAGATGATGCGGTAATACGAGCGCGTATTTGTTTGAGGCTTACTGGACGTAGAAAAGACACCGTGGGGAATACACTAGGGTTCTAATTAATGATAGTTTAGCTGAACTGATAGATGCTCCAAAAACTCATACCGTCTGGTTCTGAACATGATAAAGAGTGGAGTCAGCTTAGGCGCAAGCTGATAAGAAGTCTACGCAATGATCGCTAATTGTGGTGAGAGCGATCGAAGAGGCAGCGGTTATTGGTAACTGTAGAAAATTGTTCCACCTCATCAAGAGGACTTGTACTAGGAATCGATCTGTTAGCGAAACTATCTCGGCAAAGGATGACCGTATCATTTATTTTCAATCCAGGTGATGGGATCGATTTGCAGAACACTTCAGCGATCATTTTAACTGGTCTTATGCTACACATCGGTTGCCCGCGATCTCCAGTCATCCTGAATGGCGAATCAATGTAAGTCCTCCGAGCTTATGGCGAACTGTCATCGGAATTCAGGGCTGTCCACTTTCTCCATTCCTGTTTAACTTTGTCACAGACATGCTTTTAGAGTTAACACTATCCTTTTCTTACTTTTCAGGAGTAAACCTTCCACCAGGAAGCTCGCTTATTGACTTAGAATATGTCGATGACATAGTGAACCATCCAACATGAGATACACTTGCTGACTTAGTGTGTATCGAGGACATAGTTCTATTTGGTGAAGACGCAGACAAAATGCAGAGTCTTCTAACCACCCTAACCAACAGTGCAATCATGTTCAGGATGCGGTTTTCTCCCCCGAAATGTAAAATGTTGATTCATGGTTGGGTAGCATCGGCCCCTGAACTAGTGATAGGGAGTGAATTAGTTGAGCGTGTTAACCTCTTCATTCATCGCGGGAGTCTCATCAGTGCTGATGACCTGGAGACTGACGAAATCTCAGCACGGATACAGAAGGCTCGATTGGCTTTTGCCTGTTCGCGTCACTTATGACATAGGCGAGACGTCCGTTTGCAGACGAGAGGACGAGGGTACTGCGCAGCAGTTCGTTCCGTGCTACTTCATGGATGTGAAACATGGCCGGTGTTGAGGATATTCGTAGGTTGTTAGTATTCGATTATAGATGTCTCCGGAGCATTGCTCGTGTATTCTGAGACAACTGAGTAAGCAAAGCTGTTGTTCGGAAACGAGTACTAGGTAGGGATGACAAATCAAAAGATGAAGTAGTGAAACTTCATCAGTTGAGGTGGTTGGGACATGTGTTACGTATGCCTAACCACCGACTGCCGCGACGAGCTATGTTTTGTAGTGTAGGAGTAGGTTGGAAGAAAGCTAGGGGCGGCCAGACCAAAACATGGCAGAAATGCATGAAGTCACTGACAATTGGACTGAGTCATGTTGGTAGATGTAGACTACCTGTTTGGGGTCCGCGAGATGATAATCGTTGGTTAGAGACTTTGAGTGACATGGTTCAAAGTTGTTTGCAATGGTGCAGGTGCATTCACTCTTTGTATTCTCTGAAATTCTAATCTGAATTCCTCGTCACCTTTCTGTTTCTAAATTTATTTCACTGTTTTATACTTATGGAATATTATCTTCGTACCGTGATCTTTCCGATTACTGCTAATACTTCTACTATCTCTACAACTATGGTGTTTGAACTGGGAATTGAGTCTTGGTGCTAACGTGGTACGGCAACTTAAGCGTATGTACGTAAGTACGAAGTTCTACGTTGTACCTGATTGACTGAATGACTGATTGTGGTCATATACATAGGGAGAAGTAATCTTAATTTGTTGAATGGGGTTTCTAGACATGTACTAAAACGTTTGCGAAAACAATCAAAATCAAATGACTCAATAGGGATAGATGATAAACATCTATCTTCCGCTATTTCTAAACACAACTGTACAGGTCATAAGATTGATCCGAAATTGGGCTCTATGGTTTTGTACTAAATTTTTTGAGGGCGTATATTAGGGTGAATTGAGGCTTTGGCCATACGAAAGTTCAAACCGTTTTATATATTCAAGAGCGGTTCGTCCTTAGCATGAACATACCTTGACAATACTGTCTTATTACCGAGTGTAATGAGTTTCACATTGCCTTTATTGTTATTTTCTTTTTGATCTTTGTTTCCTCTCACTGTCCATCTGTCTAGTTAAGGTTCTATTTTTTCATGCATAAATGACCAGATTTTCGATATGCATTGCGTTCTGGTTTCTTGTTAGATTTTACACTTTCCTGGAGTATAGTATAATCCTTATGTTTCTATGAGATATTTGCTAGCTCTTGTATTTGATTAATTCTATGTTATCACTATCCACACCAATCAGAATAATGTTCTGAGAATTAGTATAGAACATACATCAGTTTACAGAGTGGTCACGCTGATACCAATTGCTGGGTAATGTATTTATTTTGTCCGGAACAGCATTGTTTCTCGGTACTTTCAAAGTGATCACCTTAGCCAAATTTGATAAAAATAAGGCCATAAATGTAATGGAGGCTACAACTGTCTAGGTGAAATGGTTTTATAGTATAGGATTAGTGATTAATAACAATTCATAGCAGTTTAGATCCAGCAGGCATGAGCTCACTGCCATACAAACTGATATTATATGCCGTCTGTGGTGTATGAAACGGTTAAAGCTTTATCACTTAAAATGTTTTGCTTTAGGATCATCCATTTGCAATTTTCCTGTAACTCACGAAGCGACCAAAATCCCCCCTCCACAGATTATTTTGTGTATCACCCACTGGTTAAAACTTTCAAGGACTTCGAAACAGCATCAACCTGTGACTAATCCACCCAGCAGCTGGACCAGTATTGATTGGCTAAGTTCAACTAGACGTTACAAGTTTCTCAACCAGACCCGCTTCTCTGTTGATCAGATTTTGATGTCTCAACCACCTCCTCCACTATGCCTACTGTGGTGGACTATTTTTGAACCTCTGAGACATGTAGTGCGGTAATTTACTATTACTTTTATTTTCATCCTATTTTGATGTTCTGTTTTGTGAGATAGTCTAGTATTTGTTGTCAAAGTCATGCTTCTGTTATTTCTCATGAAAGATACATATCCTCTGAAGGCATGTAATAACTACTCAAATTAATTCACTCACCAAGTACTTGGGTACGTGCTACTCTGTGTGAGAGTTAATCGTACTTCTGGTTTCCAAAACGGAAATAAGTGAAAAGGGGTTCAAAGCTAGGGAGTGATGACTAAAATTTGAACACGTTAGCCACTAAGCAACCGCTCTCCAAGTGGTAACTACAGTGAAACTTTAAGAAAACTAAACCAATTATATGTTTAATCTGAATCAGCTACGGTATCTGACATTGCTTTTAAATAACTGGTGAATAAAAACTCAACAAACGTATTATAAAATTTTACTTCATATGCACCATAGGTATTTAGTGATACTGAATTTTGGTAAGCTAATTGCAATCGTTCATCAAACAGATAGCTATTGGGTTTTATAAGGCAGCGTTCCCGGGCTCCTCTCATCTATAATCTTTTTAATTAGCTACTTCAACTTTGAGAAAGCCTTCTCGTATAACGATTGCCCAAAATCCATTGTTATCATAGAGACGATATATGTGGCACTGTTATAATCATCTAGCAGAAATTGACAATATCACTGTTTGTAGAAAGTACTAGCTTCAGTTTAATTTTAATAAGTGTAGATGGATTTGACCATTGACTGTCTGACTTCTATCATCTTTAGTGGCTCTCCATAAAGACGTTTGTTGCTGTTTTAATTCATGAGATTGCAACAATCTCACTAAAACGTAGAATTCTTTGTTAGTTTTAATGCTCTTCCAAACCTGGATCTTTAGTGACCATACAATATAGAAGAATCCCATTTTGTCTCCTTTTCGAGTTCCGATCAGTGTATAATTCTTGTTCTGCTATAAGTATATTGCAAGCATAGACAGAATACTTCTTCTATCAGATGAGACGTCAGATATAGAGGAAACCCAAATAATGGTATCCGAGATCTGAAAAATATGTTTCATGTCACTGACTGAGATACCCGTAACAGCACGCGAGACCACATTGGTCAAAATCAAATCCTTCCTACACCCCCTAATATCTCTCTTATCTCCACGATTAACTCTACTCACATTCCTTTATCTCACTGGACCGCTAATGCAAACGATGCGAGTTCACGAAACGTCATTCCTGGTCTCCTGAAACCCCACTCTAGACTACATGTTGAGGCTTTTGATGTACGGACACTGTGTCAAATAGGGCAGGAGGCTTCCTTAGCTAGGACATTAGAATCTCGCTCAAACGATGTATGTTGCGTCTCGGAAACGCGCATACAGGATCCTAGTCAAGTTATTGATTTGATTTCACCTTATCAAAACAATGAAGTGGCCCGATTTACTCTTCGTGTATCTGGAAGCCCCGATGGTGCTTCCCGTGATCTCGCTGGTGTAGGTGTAGCATTGCGTCGTAGGGCAGAACTAGCGCTTCCAAACTAGATCCCAGCAGATAGTCGCTTGTGCGTTGTCTGACTAAACGGGACAGTAAGAACTCGGAAAGATAGGGACACCCGTCGTTGTCTCTTCGTCGTATCTACCTATGCCCCCATTGACTGCAGTTCAGACGAGGTGAAAGATGAGTTTTACAGAATGCTTTCGGAACTCCTCCAAAAAGTTAGGCACTCTGATGTATTAATAATGGCCGGAGACTTTACTGCTCAAGCAGGTAGACTAAGTGAGCAGGAGAAACACCTTGGTGGATGTTATGGTGTCGCGGCTCAGAGAACAGACAATGGCGACCATCTATTGCAACTATGCTTATTTAACCGCCTATTCCTAGCAAATACTAACTTTAGGCATAAGGAAAAACATTTGTTGACCTGGCGACCCCCCAAGTCGTCTCAACGTTGGACCCAACTAGATCGCAACACTATAAGCCACCGATGGAGAGGTTCGATAAAGGACTGTCGCTCGTTCTGGGGCACATGTTTAGATTCAGATGATGCGGTAATACGAGCGCGTATTTGTTTGAGGCTTACTGGACGTAGGAAAGGCACCGTAAGGAAGCCTCTTAGGGTTTTACTTAATGATAATAAAGCTAAGAATGTATTTCAGGAGCAATTAGAAAGACAGTTAGGCGACTGTGTAAATAATTCTCATCCGCAGGCGGGTTGGAACGATATCAAGAAGGCTGTGGAAACAGCAGTGATATCTGCTAGTAAGGTAAACCATATGTCCAGGAAGAAGGCGGGGATCTCAGTAGCATCCACCGAACTGATGGATGCTCGAAAACTCATCCCACCTGACTCTGAACATGACGAAGAACGAAGTCAGCTTGGGCGCAGGCTGATGAAAAGCCTACGCAACGACTGTGAATAGTAGTGGGTGGTGAAGGCACAATCGTTGTAAAAGGCAGCGGCGATAGGCAAAAACAGACAGTTGTACCGACTTGTCAAGGAAACCGGTATTAGGAAACCAAATGTGAGTGTAACTATCTCGGAAATGGATGGCACTATCTTTCATTCACATTCCACGAGATTGGATCGACGGGCAGAACACTTTAGGGATCAGTTCAACTGGCCTTCAGCCACACTTCGGTTACCCACGATCTCCAGTCATCCTGAATGGCAAGTCGCCGTAAGTCCTCCGAACCTTTATGAAGTTGAAAAGGCTATAGGAAATCTGAAGCGAGAGAGAGCAACAGGACCCGACAGATTGACTCCTGATATTTTTAAGGATTGTGGTCCAGTTTTAACATTTAGACTGCCCGAGATCTTAGGTAGAATCTGGGAACTGGACACAATCCCATCCGACTGGTCTCAATCCCTGATTGTCCCAATCTATAAGAAAGGACAAAAGTCTTCTTGTGACAATCACAGGGGAATAAGTCTAACTAGTATAGTATCTGAAATTTTGGCTTCAATAATACTTCGGCGCTTAACGAACGCCCGTGAAGAGCAGACTAGAAAAAACCAGGCTGGTTTTCGACCTGCACATGGCTGTATGGACCACATCTTCACACTACGACAGGTACTGGAACACAAACACACATTTAGGCGTCCTATAATAGTTGTCTTCCTGGACTTTAAGGCGGCGTTCGACTCAGTGGATCGTGAGCTTTTGTGGCAGTGTCTGTCATTGAAAGGTGTACCAAAGAAGTACATTAACCTTATACAAGCTCTCTACTCGAATACTATAGGTCGAGTGAGAGCCTATGGCGAAATGTCATCGGAATTCTTTACTTCAAGTGGTGTCCGTCAGGGATGTCCACTCTCACCATTTCAGTTTAACTTTGTCACAGACATGCTCCTAGATATAACTTTATAATCGTCTGACTTTTCAGTATTCGACTTTCTACTAGGAAAATCGCTTGCTGACATAGAATATGCCGATGAAATAGTTCTGTTTGGTGAAGACGCAGACAAAATGCAGAGTCTTCTAACCACCCTAACCAACAGTGCAATCATGTTCAGGATGCGGTTTTCTCCCCCGAAATGTAAAATGTTGATTCATGGTTGGGTAGCATCGGCCCCTGAACTAGTGATAGGGAGTGAATTAGTTGAGCGTGTTAACCTCTTCATTCATCGCGGGAGTCTCATCAGTGCTGATGACCTGGAGACTGACGAAATCTCAGCACGGATACAGAAGGCTCGATTGGCTTTTGCCTGTTCGCGTCACTTATGACATAGGCGAGATGTCCGTTTGCAGACGAGAGGACGAGGGTACTGCGCAGCAGTTCGTTCCGTGCTACTTCATGGATGTGAAACATGGCCGGTGTTGAGGATATTCGTAGGTTGTTAGTATTCGATTATAGATGTCTCCGGAGCATTGCTCGTGTATTCTGAGACAACTGAGTAAGCAAAGCTGTTGTTCGGAAACGAGTACTAGGTAGGGATGACAAATCAAAAGATGAAGTAGTGAAACTTCATCAGTTGAGGTGGTTGGGACATGTGTTACGTATGCCTAACCACTGACTGCCGCGACGAGCTATGTTTTGTAGTGTAGGAGTAGGTTGGAAGAAAGCTAGGGGCGGCCAGACCAAAACATGGCAGAAATGCATGAAGTCACTGACAATTGGACTGAGTCATGTTGGTAGATGTAGACTACCTGTTTGGGGTCCGCGAGATGATAATCGTTGGTTAGAGACTTTGAGTGACATGGTTCAAAGTTGTTTGCAATGGTGCAGGTGCATTGACTCTTTGTTTTCTCTCTAATTCTAACTTTCTGAATTCTTTATAATCTTTATCTTTCTCCTTCTAAATTTATCTCACTGAATTATACCTCTCGAATCATATCTTCGCTTCCTAATCTTCTTCATTACTGCTAATACTTCTGCTGTCGCTATCACTCTTGCATTCGAACAGTTGCGTCTTTATGCCGATGTGGTATGGCAACCTGAACTGATGTACGTACGTACGAAGTTCTGCGTTGTATCTGTCTGGGATATGTTTGCAAACAATTCATTGAAAGACGTAGGATTTTATGGCTTGTTATTTTTTGTTTGACACATGCTGTCCCTGTAATATCCTTTTTATAAAATTTGATCCCCTTCATTTATCAGTTCGGTAGATGATACCAAAATCCACCGCTTCTCCATAACCTTGTGGTTTACCTTACTAGAAGATGTCACTGCTGTTTCCACAGCTTTTTCGATTCCGTTCCAAGCTGTATCGGGGTTGGAATCACGTATTGCATGGCTGCCTAACTGTTTTTCTAATTGTTCCTGAAATATATTCTTAGCTTTCTTATCATTGAGTAGAATCCTAAGAGGCTTCAATTGTGATTGATTTGATGTCGTGTATTTTTATGAGTATGAGGGTGGATGTTACTTCCCCGCTGCTTACACCGTCGAAGGGCTGTGGTTGTCAGACGGGACATCGACCTCGTGACTTCCTAAGGAACTCGGCTTCCATCATGAGACGTCATAAATCTTTTAAATGAAGACCTAACACCTAGAGCAGAGTTTAAACGGTTTAA